CCATAGTAACCATATAACACCATATAACACCATTTTAATTATTTATTATACCATGTAACCATATAACACCATATAACACCATTTTAATTATTTATTATACCATGTAACCATATAACACCATGTAACCATGTAAAAACCATGTAAATATGTAATAATAATATTATATTTATATAAAAAATATTATTATTTATACATTTTTATATCTTTACTTCTGAAACAAAAATTTATAACATTTTAAAACACGAAGATAATCTTTAGATTACTTTTAGATGTTAATTTTTCAATATAAAAAAAATTTTAAATATAATTTATTTAAATCATCTTTTTTTTTAGTATTTTGTCTCTATTAATTTTTTTCTGTGTCTGATAAAGAAAATAATGTTATTATTAATATTAAATATGTCAGTATGTATATACAGGATGAAATACGCATCTATAAAATCACTTTGATAATGTAGTAAATATTGTTTTTCTTAGAAAATTCAAATAAATAAATATTATATGATATGAAGACGACTATACAATATATTATTCAAATCTTTTTAGCATTTGCAATTTTCAAGATTTGAGCAAAGATTTCAAAAATGTATGACTCTAAGACAACACTTCGAATATTTTTTGAGAAATAAGAAAATAATTTCTTATAATAATATATTATTAAATTAAAAATATAAAAAATTTAAATAAATATTGTTTGAAGATTATATTTTTAAAAACACATATAATAGTAAGGCTCCATATGATAATAATCAAGAAATATAATAGATATATTATTTAACATATTATTTAACATATAATTGAATATATTTTAATATTTACAGATATGTTAAAAGATAAATATTAATTTTTATTCAATAAACTAATAATGATCTTAAATCATAAAGACTGCAAAGAATAACAATAATTTTTTACGTTTCGAATTATACAATATCATTTGGGTAAATTTTTCGATAAAAGCAATATTTATGACGTTATTGAAGTGGTTTCAGTTACGTGTTCGATTCTACACACACACACGCGCGTGCGCGTGTACCTATATATATATA